AGGAGGCGCTGTGCTGCAGGTGGTGGGGCTGAGTTGGGGCTCCATACTGCAGGGGATGGGGCAGAGGGCTCAGTGTGCAGAGTGCTGCAGGGAGTGGGGCAAGGTGGGGTAGGGGGTGCTGGGCTGTAGGGAGCAGGATGGGGGCTCAGCAGGTGGAGCTGGGCTGCATAGGGCTCAGCAGGGGGTGCTGTGTGTCAGGAAGCAGGTCAGAGGCTCAGCGGGGGCACTGGGCTACAAGGGCAGAGGGCTCAGTAGGGGGCACTGTGTGTCAGGGAGCAGGATAGGCTCAGCAGGGAGCACACCAGGTGGCAGGGTGGTGCCCAGCAGGGGGCGCTGGGCTTTAGAGAGCAGGGGACCTAGCAGGGGGTGCTAGTCTGCAGGGAATAGGGGGCCCAGCAGGGGGTGCTGTGCTGCAGGGAGCAGGATGGGGGCCCAGTAAGGGGTGCTGGGAACAGGTTAGGAATTCAGCAGGGCTTGGGTGGGCTGCAGGGGCCAGAGGTCCAGCAGGAGGCACTGGGCCCCAGGTGGTAGGGCAGGGGGCTAACAGGGGGCGCTCTCCCCTCAGAACCAGTGCTGACCCCAACATCCCAGGAGCCTGCTTATTCCCCACTCTGACTCTCATCACTCCCACCCCCATGGACAGGTCTATTGCCTGCTGCAGCAACCAGCTGCCATGCTCACCGCAGCCAGAGGGCGTCCTCCAGTCATAGAGGGTCACCGCGTGCTCCCGGCAGGCGTGGGCGTAGGCCCCCAGCGCTTGGCACAGGGTGCCCTTGTCTCCCTCGTTGACACACATGTTGTTGAGGCAGCTGTAGAAGAACTTGTCTGGGCTCACTCGGGGGTGGCACTCTCTGAAGGGGCCTCCTGGCACTTTGCTGATCCCCCCACAGTACCCCTCGCTCCCGTAGAGCTGCCTTTTGCTCTTCTCACACGCCGGGCATTCCCCACCGCAGGAATCCCAGCAGGAGTCCTCCACTCTCCAGCTTCCAACCCAGGCCTGGAAGGAAGAGGCTCTGGTGCCGTTGGAGAGCATCGCTTCGTCCTCAGAGTCACCGTTGAAGTTCCCACACAGCCCACACATGCTCCCAAAATAGCTGCTGGAGAGCGTCACAATCACAGCCCAGTTGCTGTCGAACCACACCTGGAGCCCGAAGGCCGTTTGCAGGACGGGACGTCCCTCCCTGTGGGAGAGCTTGATTTTCCCTGCCTCCAAGGTGACTGGCAGGCTGACGCTCTTGTCATTTAACTAATGAAAGGGAAGGGGAAAGAAATGGAGCCGTTATTGCTCTTTCCACGACACCCACTCTCCCTGCCACTGTGAGCTCCCTGGGCCTTTGATCATAATGAGTCTTTGCCATAAATATCCCTGTAGTCCCCTTACTAAAGGGGCCTCTGTTTTTTTTCCTGGAAAGACCCTGTGCTGCAATCCAGACTACAATTCTCATGAGCCCTTGGGAAAAATAGGAAGGAAGGATAGTGTGAAAGAGGCCGAGCAGTCTGGGACTCTGCCTTGGAGTTTGGAACCAAAGGGGGAGCCAGGCTGCTGCGAAGGACACTGATCCAGTGCAGGGGCTGTTGGATGCAGCTACTAGATACCTGTTGGAACTGGGAGTTAGCAGGCTGCTTCCTATAGGCACAGCATGAGGCAGTAAGTTTTGGGGCCTTGTTGTAAAAGTGCTGCCTTGGACAGAGCTGCTGTTTAGCCTGGACCAAATCTTCACTACAGCTGCAACATCAGCACGCCAATGCAAGCAAGTGTCTGGGACTGAGTCTAGGGGGGTGCACACTCTGGGGTGGGGTCACTGGTAGTACAAATGTTAGCTGTATAAGCTTCAATTATTGTTGTGTTTTGTTAATGTTTTCATTTCTAATTCTGTTAACCCCTGTTTATTTAAGTTAAGTAAAGATTGTTTATTTTGAAGTGTTCTATTAGATGTATATGATTTGTAGTTGTTTTGGAATCAGATCCAGATTTATGTTGGAATGAGTATGTTCCTGGAGGCTCTCAAGGCACCAGTGTGTGTACAAGGCCAGCCAGGTGGAGGCACCGCCACTTTACATTCATTACCAGCAAGGGACTGCAGCAAGGGGGTGGATAGGGCTTTCCCCAGCTAAACACCATCACTATTGGGGTGCTCAGGATTTCTTTTAGGTTAAAACATCAGGCGCCCAGGCACACCTGTGAGTGTGACCTGCTCCCCAGTAACCCGGGGAGGAAAAAGGGGGTTATATTCCCAAAACCAAATGAGACAAAAAACAAGGGAAACTTCACTGCCAAAAACCTTTGGGAAAGCAGGGTAAGATTGCCCTGTGCTTCCTTACACCCTTCCAGAATCCAGACTGTGACTAAATGTAAACATCTCGAAACCAGGAAACACAAAGTTAAAGCAATGGTCACTTGCGAATGAGAATGCCTAGTTCTTACATAAGGCGCTTTCATCAGTAGCGCTGCAGGTGCACATTTCAGGAGTCCAGTACCACAACCGCCATTTTACAGAAGGGAAACCTGGATCGCAGAGCAGAGCAGTGACTCTCTCACTGTGCCGGCAGCAACAGCATGAAAGGCTTTTGAAGGCTCTAGGCACTAGGCCACATTGCTCTGCCCAACCTGGAACAGTAGCTGGACTTCACCTGAGGTCAGATTCAACCAGATAAGTTCAATTTTGGGCCATTCGGTGCCAGAGTTTGTGCTGCAGGTGTGCATGAAAACGTGACACAAGGACAGGCAAAATATGGAGACCAGTCCCATTGTTCTGGAACCTCCCTGCACAGAGCTGTGGCCCCATCTCCAGCAAGATATACTGACAGTGGGAAAGGTACAGAGAAGGGAAACAGATGATTTGGGGACACCTTCTACACGAGGCAAGATTAAAGAAGACTGGGAATATTCAGCTCAGAAAAGAGATGACTAAGGGGATATGACAGAGGTGTATAAAATCCTGACTGGTGTGGAGAAAGTGAGTAATGAAGGGTTTAATAGCACTTCCTATAACTTAAGGGCTGGTGATCACCTGATGGAATTAATAGGCTGCCGGTTTAATGCAAATATGAGGAGGTACTTCTTCACACAATAGTCAACCTGTGGAATCTTGCCCTCTCGTCTGTTTTGTCCATGTGCAGATTTTTTCCACCCATGTGCAGGATAAATTTTTTATGTGCATAGAGGCATGTGTGAATATGTACTACCCATAGATACACAAAACTTAGCTGTGGGTATTCTGCTAATTAGCCTGGAGGCAACTGAATTTCCCATGAGCAGCCGCACAAGTGCACAACTTACAGAGCACACTGGTTGCCAGGGGATCTTGTGAAGGCCAAAAGTATAAGAGAGTGTAATGAGTTCACAGAGGGCAGGTCCATCCATGGCTGCTGGCCATTTTGGTCAGGGATGCAGCCCTACACTCCAGTGTCTATAACCCTTGAACTTCCAGAAGCGTCTGGCATTGGTCACTGTCAGAGATGCATCTGATGCAGTATGGCCAAACTGAAAGCCACTAGTGACTCGATTAACTATCCAACCTCTAAGAAGCACATGAATTTTCAAGACAATTGGAGCATGCACGTGGATTCTAGAGTACTTTGAAACATTAGAGAGGGGACATTTCCAAATGTTTAGGAACTTTAATTGCATGAAAAAATTTGATATTTTCAACTTCATCCTGATTTGCAATGACAACACACATTGAAACATGCAGACTTTCCTCAGGTGACTGGAATGTCTCCTCTTCCACAGGTTTTCACTCTCCTACAGTTCATCTGGAGGGCTCCTTAGGGTACGTCTATACTACATGGCTCCGTCGATGGAGCCATGTACATTTGTTTGTTTGGCAAAGGGTAAATGAAGCCGCGATTTAAATAATCACGGCTTCATTTAAATTTAAATGGCTGCCGCGCTCTGCCGATCAGCTGTTTGTCGGCAGATCGGGGCAGTCTGGACGCTCCCCTGCCAACATGAAAGCCCTTTATCGACTTCCCCGGTAAACCTCATCCTACGAGGCATAATGGAGAGGTCGATAAAGGGCTTTCAGGTTGGCGTGGGAGCATCCAGACTAGCGCGCTGATCAGCTGTTTGTCGGCTCAGCGCGGCAGCCCTTTAAATTTAAATGAAGCCGCGATTATTTAAATGGCGGCTTCCTTTCCCAAATCGCGGCTTCATTTTTCTTTGCTGATCAGCCTAATCTACATGGCTCCATCGATGGAGCCATGTAGTTTAGACACACCCTTACAGAGCAACACTGTAGAATGGGGAATCACTGGGATGGGTTCCCTCAGGAGGTGGTGGAATCTCCATCCCTAGAGGTTTTCAAGTCTTGGCTTGACACAGCCCTGGCTGGGATGAGTTAGTTGTGGTTGGTCTTACTTTGAGCAGGGGGTTGGACTAACTGACCTCCCAAGGTCTCTATCAACCCTAGGATTCTATGTAGATTGGGATGAACTTTTCAGTTTGGTGGTGGTTGCAAACAATTAAAAGAAAAAGTGCTTTCGAATTTGAATTTTGGGGAAATTCCCAGGGTCCATTTGGGACCCGCTCCAGAGGTAGGATTTGAACACGGGTCTTTTGTTTCCTAGCTGATTGCCCTAAAGAGTGGGATAAAAACTGGCAATGCAGCAACTCCTTTCGCCATTGGCTAAAAGCATTTGAGTCAAATTTACGACTAGTCTTGAATTGACTGAAATTGCCTTTTTTGTCGAATAAAGTGTATAAATGTGTCCAGCTCTAATTGTAAATAGAAAAGTGACTAGAATAAGACGACTCACCCTGACTTCTCCATTCTCACCCTTGTAGATGGAAATGTTGTAGCCATAGGCATGGATGGTGGTCACGCCAAGGCTGGGACTGGCCTGTTTCTCTATGGAGGTGCTGTTCTCCTCGATGCTGAAGGGCTCCAGGGTGGGGTCATGGCCACAGTACTTGGCGATGGTGTAGGTGCAGGTGTCTTGGACGCCCACGGTCAGGCCATCAAAGGAGTAGTACTGGGAGGCCAGGGACCCCTTGCAGGTTCCCATGTAGTCATGGAAACATACTGCCTGGCCATCCTTAATCCTGCATGATTCCTTCTCCCGGCAGCTCAGCGCTCTGCAGGGATCTGAAAAAAACCACAATCACCCCCAAGGGATTTTGCTGGGGAGCGAGGCCTGGCCCAGCCCAGAGTTTCACAGGAGGGGCTGCCGTGACAGGTGTTAGGTGAATGTGGAGTCAATAGGGTGGATGTTAAATAGTGATCTTGCTCCCCACCTGGTCTTTAGTTTAGACAGGCTGAATGTCAGTGAAAGCACAAACTGATAGCCCCCACTTCCCCTACTGGAAATCCTGAAGATAAAGGGCTAATTGAGCCAGGGGTCACCATGGTAACCAAGGAGAAGAAAGGGAGGGGAAGGTGCAAAGAGGAGACACAAATTTGACCATGGCCAGCAGTAACCCTGCTTTTAACCCCTCTACCGGGTACTAAACCGGGGTCTCATTTGTATGTACAGTTGGGATTATTTTTTCCAATGGGCGTTACTTTACATTTACCAACATTACATTTCATCTGCAATTTTGTTGCCAATCGCTTAGTTAGAAAGATCTCATCAAACTAAAACAAAAGGAAAAACTATGTAGCACTTCAAAGACTAACAAGATGGTTTAACAGGTGATGAGCTTTCGTGGGCCAGACCCACTTCCTCAGATAATATTGGCCCATGAAAGATCATCACCTATTAAACCATCTTGTTAGTCTTTAAAGTGCTACATAGTTTTTCCTTTTGTTTTAGTTTGATGAGATCTTTCTGAAGCTCTTCACAGTCTGCTTTGGTCTTAGTTATCATGAGCAGTTCAGTATCATCTGCAAAATTTGCCACCTCACTGTTTAGCCCTTTCTTCAGATCATTTATAAGTAAGTTAAACAGGATTGGTCTCCGTATGGACCTTCGGGGACACCACTAGTTGCATTTCACTATTCTCAAAACTGACCATTTATTCCTACCCTTTTCCCCATCTCATTTTACCATTTCACTGGAGGACCTTCCCTTTTACTTTGTGACAATTCAAGAGCTTTTGATGAGGGACCTTGTCAAAGGATTTCTGAAAATCTAAGTACACTATAGCCACTGGATCCCCCTTGTTCACATTTGTTTGTCCCCTTCAAAGAACTCTAGTAGATTAGTAAGGCATGATTTCCTTTTCCAGAAACCACGTTGACTTTTCCCCAACAAATTATGTTCATCTAAGTGTCTGACAATTTTTGTTCTTTACTGTAGTTTTAACTAATTTGCCCAGTACTGACATTAAATGTACCGGACTGTAATTGCCAGGATTACCTCTAGAGCCCTTTTAAAATATTGGAGTCATGTTAACTTTCTTCCCATCATTAGGTACAGATGTTGATTTAAAGGGTAGGTTTCAAACCACAGTTAATTGTTTCACAATTTCCCATTTGAGTTCTTTCAGAGCTATCGGGCGAATGCCATCTGGTCCCAATGACTTGTTACTGTTAAGTTTATCAGTTTGTTATAAACCTCCTCTTATGACACCTCAAACTGGAACAATTCCTGAGATTTGTCACCTAAAAAAAATGGCTCACGTTTGGGAATCTCCCCAATATCCTCAGCCAAGGAGACCAAAGCAAATAATTCATTTGGTTTCTCTGCAATGACCTTATTATCTCTGAGTGCGCCTTTAGCATCTCGATTGTCCAGTAGCCCCACTGATAGTTTAGCTGGCTTCCTGCATCTAAAGTAATTAATTTTTTTAACTATTTTTGAGTTTTTGTTTAGCTGTTCTTCAAACTCTTTTTTGTCTTTTCTTTTTATACTAACCAATTAGCCCATCATAAGACAGGATTTTCAGGTATCTCCTCCACGTCGGTCTTCTCTCCTGAGCCTCCGGTCTCTCGCTCCATCTCTCTCTCTCTCCTCCTCCTACTGCCTCCCCCCCTCTATCAGCTCTCCTCTGCCTTCTGCCTCTTTCTCCATCTCTCTCTTTCTCTTCTCCCCCTCCTGCCTCTCACTCTCACTCTCTCTCCGCTCTCCTCTGTCTCCATTGGGGATGCACACTCGTCCAGGCCTCACCCCCTGGATGTTTACGTCTCTGCCCCGCCACCTTTCACCTCCCACTGTGGTGCTCAGCAAGGGGGGCAGGGTGGTGATGTTCATGGCCAGGGGGCAAAGCCTGGAGCTGCTGTCACACCGGACGTCACTGCCCCGCCCCCCTTCGCCTCCCGGCGTGGCACTCAGCTGAGTTCTGCGCCGCTCAGCCGGGCCGCCACGGGGGAACAAGTGGCCGTTTGGGCCCTGCACTTCCCATGGAGCACTTCTCACCTTCTGCCTCTCTCTCCATCTCTTTCTTTCTCTTCTCCCTCCTCCCTCTCACTCTCCCTTTCTCTTCTTCTCCTCCTCCTGCCTCTCACTCCCCTCCATCTCTCCCCTTCCCCTTCCCCTTTTCCTCCCGCTGTGGTGCTCGGCTGAGTGCTGCCTGCTCAGCCGGGCCGTCGCGAGGGAGGGAGGTGGGGCGGTGACATACACGGCTAGGGGGTGGGGCCATGTACGTCACCGCCCCGCTCCCCCTTCCCCTCCTGCTGTGGGGGAGCCCAAATCCCACTGGCCATGTATGTCACCGCCCCACCTCCTTCCCCTCCCTCCGTGGTGGCTGGGCTGAGTGCTGTGCGCTCAGCTGGGCTGCCGCGGGGAAGGAGGGGCGGGTAGGGTTGCCAGGTGTCCGGCATTGTCCCAGGCAGTCCGGTATTTGCGCGCTCTATCCGGTAAAAAAAATCAGAAAATATCAGACGTGCAATATCCAGAATTTTCTGATTTTTCCAGTGGTGCACCAGATGGAAGCCTGGAGTGGGCGGGGGGAGCAGCTGGGAGTCCCAGCTGGGAGGCGGGGTCATGATTGCCGCTGGGAGCCCTCAGTCAGTTGAGTGTGAGGAGGAGGGGAAGCCTCCTCGCTCGTGCACTGCCGGGACCCTGCGCGGGACAGGCAGCAAGTGCCCAGGTCGGTCCTGCTCCCCGCCAGCCAATTTGCTCACTCTCCCACCTCTGGAGTGGGCGGGGGGAGCAGCTGGGAGTCCCAGCTGGGAGGCGGGGTCATGATTGCCGCTGGGAGCCCTCAGTCAGTTGAGTGTGAGGAGGAGGGGAAGCCTCCTCGCTCGTGCACTGCCGGGACCCTGCGCGGGACAGGCAGCAAGTGCCCAGGTCGGTCCTGCTCCCCGCCAGCCAATTTGCTCACTCTCCCACCT